GTAATACACCATATGTCGCCACCCTTAGATATACTAAACCTGCCCGTTGGTAATTCATTTGTTTGGAATTCTTAATTATTGAAGTTTAGCTATCTACAAAAATTTAATACGTACTGTTTTTGACAACTAAAATAATAGGAACCTAGGACAAACGTCAAATGCACAGCATGCTTGATTGAAAAATTATGGGTTTCTATCTTAGATAAAAGAGACCAGAGATATAACATACACCGGTGTTTAACCTGCGCAAATGTTGCCCATTTATAAAGAAAGGTTAACGGAGTGGGGGAACTGTGCAGAGACCCGAACTCTGTGACAAGGACCGGACTTTGTTTATTAGCATCATAATGAACTATTAGATTTATTTAAAATATATGTTTAATGGAATGTTGTATTATGAAATAAAATTAACGTGATTTTTTAATATCAAACAGATGCACGACATTTTATGTAAAAAGAAGACCTTTTACAGAATATTTCGTTAGCGTTTATTTACTATGGAGTTTTCAGAAATAGAATATTGTTAATAGAGCAAGAAATGGTACTCATTGTCTACGAGTATTATAAAAAAGCATGTGCGCAGGCGAATACTGCAAATCAAACCTTTTGAGTCAAACATTATATTTTTTCTACGGCTATTACATAATATTAAAAATTAGTCAAAATAAGAAATTGCTGTTTTGTATTGTAACCTCAGCTTCTTTCTTTAGGAATATTAATTAATATAGAGGATGAGTGATTGTCGAAATAAATAATCGATCATTGAAAATAATCGATTATTTTCGATCAATCCATTGTTTTCAATCTATTTGTTTGTCGTATTTCCTTTAAAATAGACTACTTGATTATCTTTAAAAATCAAAAATAATCGATTAATTAAAAAGCCAATTAACCGATAAATCAGTATTTACAAAAAATTATCGTTTATTTTAAATAATCGATTATTTTCAAATAATCCATTTTTTTCGTCCATTGAAACAGATTATTAAAAAAAAACCGAATTGTCGATTATTTTAAATAATCGTTATTTTCGATCAATCGATTATTATCAATAATTTATTTTTATTGTATTTCATTTAAAATCGATAATTCGATTATCATTGAAATACCGAAAATAATCGATTAATTAAGAAGCCGATTCTACGATAAATCTATTTTCCAAAAAAATAACCGGATTATCGATTATTTTCTAATAATCCTTTTCATATTTACTTTAAAATTGATTATTCTATTATCTTCGAAAAATCGAAAATAATCGATAAAAATTGATAAATCGAAAATAATTATTCATTATTAAAAAGCTGATTAACCGATAAATCGATATTTCTAAAAAATAACCAAAATATTGGTTATATAAAATAACCGATTATATTCGATCAATCGATTATTTTCATATACCTTTGAAAATTCGAAAATAATCGATTAATCGAAAATAGTCGATTATTATCAATAATTTATTTTTATTGTATATTATTTAAAATCGATGATTAGATTATCATTGAAATACCGAAAATAATCGATTAGTTAAGAAGCCGATTCTACGATAAATCTATTTTCCAAAAAAATAACCGAATTATCGATTATTTTCTAATAATCCTTTTCATATTTCCTTTAAAATTGATTTTTCTATTATCTTTGAAAAATCTAAAATAATCGATAAAAATCAATAAATCGAAAATAATTATTAATTATTAAAAAACTGATTAACCGATAAATCGATATTTCTAAAAAAATAACCGAAATATTAGTTATATAAAATAACGAATTATATTCGATCAATCAATTATTTTCATATAATACCTTTGAAAATTTGAAAATAATCGATTAATCTAAAATCATCGATTAATCGAAAATAATCGATTAATCGAAAATAATCGATTCATTAAAACACCGATTAAACGATAAATCGATTTTTCCAAAAAATCGACTTTTTCCAAAAAATCGATTATTTTCAATCAATCGATTATTTTGAATAAATCTACTTTCTTTTTGTATTTCCTTTAAAATCGATTATTACATTATCTTGAAATTTTAAGTAATTCATCTTGTATTTTATCTAATATTCTTATAAAATACTACTAATCAACTATGCTCTTTACTTCTTATTTATCTACCAAAAAGAGCTAAAAACCACCTTTAGTAAATATTCTTATAAAACTACTTTTTATAAACAAAATTTCGTTAGCAACAAAGTCTATTTACTTCTTATTTAAAGTAAATATTTAAAATTTTATCCTTTTGTAAATTTATGTAAGTAATACGAAATCTGTTTTTGAAATATGTATTTGATGAATATTTATTGAAACCCCTTAATGCGGATCTGATGTATTCAGCTCAAAGGATTATGGCGCTTTATGTCAAAACGTTAATAAATATTTACCGCTGAAAACGAATATATTTTTTATATTTCATAACATTGGTACTTGTATTATAAGTATATACAATTTCTCAAGATACATCGTGGCATTTTGAGTTTAAAATTAAATAACTACAATACTTTAAATTGCTAAAACACCAACAAATAAATCAAAAAACAGCTGTCAATGGTGACTGAACTCAGGCGGAGGTGAGCGTTGAATGGGAAATCGGAGCAATTCGGGTGGCGTCGTGCAGACAATGATTGTCAATTGGTGGGTTACTTGGAGTTAAAACAGACAACATGCGCAGTGTGCAATGTTACATCTTCGGTCTCTTTTATCTAAGGTTTCTATTCATTAAAAATCTGTATCGTTATGAAAAATCTGCATCATAATGAGTATTATTATGGACATATAAGTGCATTATTATAATACGGGTGTAGAAAAACATTATTACTTTACCGTCCATATGCTCTAATATGTTAAATAATTAATTTACTATCATTTTCAAAATTATGCTTTAATAATTTCAGTGACCACTGTGTTATTCTTATGGACATTATTGACAATTGATAGTATGGTTCCTTTGTTGGCATCCAGTGTTGTTATGACCTTCCTCAATCTGTGACGTTTTGACTAAATAAGCATATTTACAGAGATTCGATAGGTAATACTTCAAAAGTTATTTGTTATAATTTTAAAAATCCTTTTTGACAGTTTACAAACCTAAATTACTTAAAATTATTGATACGACCTATATAAAAACTTATCGATGACGTCATCACGCTCAATTAGTATTTTTTTTTTAAGTCAACATCAGGAAACTGGTATAGTTATTGACCGCATAAGAAAAAACCATACAATGAATCATTATATACGCTTCACACGAAAACCAGTGAACATTTAAATTATCGCGAAGGCCATACCTGCCACTTATTTTAACCCAAAACGCGTTTTGCATTGTTTAAATAATGCATACGTCCTTTACAACAAAACAAAAAAACATTAGTTTAGCGATAAACAATTTTAAAGCAATATAATCGTTTAGTTGAAGCCAATTATTTTTTTTTGTGGCAAAGTATTTGAACGCAACCATAAAGCAATTCGGTATGACATTCACAATCCAGGTTGCTTAAAATCCAATAAAAATGTTTTATGAACTAGATTATCTGCCACTCAAGTAATAAATACAATGTTTTGCTTGTAGTTATTATTTATAAAGAATGTAATGCATAATAAAGTCATGGACAATTAGGATCTATGAATTCATTTACCTAATCTTCACCTTTAGCTTTTTATTGCGTGATGGTAAAAATGATAAAAGTTGATTACGTGAATAGTATGGAATTATTCTGCAATACGTAGAGCTTGAACTTGTCTGCTGAGCAATATACAGGTGATAGATATTTTATTTTTATTGTCTAGGAAGAACGAAACGTATATTTATTTATCATAGAACATTAGTAAAGATATTAAATGTTATGAAATAAAGAACAACAATCCAGTGTTTATCAGTGGCCACTCGTTAGATGACGAATGTGATCGCTATTTCTTTTTCTGTAACAAAATGCCCTGCATTTTGGTCTCTATACAAATTACAAAACAGAAACCTCCAAAACTGTACCTATTTTCGAAGTATCTGGACCACTGCATGAAACAAACGAAGCACTTGATAAAAAAAATCCGACGGTCCGGAATCGCTTGTTTTTGGAAATATAATACAATAGAAAGATTTCCTAATCCGAGCGAACGGAGCGCTTGACTATTTTTGTACAGTGGTTGAACTATTGGTCAATTTCGAGTATAGTTTTTTTCGATTTTTCTAACAATGTTTGCAGTACATGATCCAGTATGTATGCTACTGGAGATTGCCATTCTATAGATGGGGAAGTGAGGATAAAAAAAGACTTTAAATTCTCCAAAACCTTAACCTCTACTAAATGAAAGCAAAAAACTAAGTCAAAAGACAAAGTGTGTGCAAAAATTTCGGAAAGAGTGGTATTCCAAATGTAAATGGTTGTGTAGTAGTTTTTATTTAATCAAGCTTTTTTGCGTACTCTGTTTGATAGTAGGTGTAAACTCAAATGTATGGAATAAAGACGGTTTTAGTGATTTTGGAAACGTAACTCTCGGCCTAAACATGAATATTTATTTATTTATTTATTTATTAAAAACCCAAACAGGTTTTGCAACCTTTTTATAAGGGTAGTAAGTACAATAAATATAATATTAATAAATGTTATAAATAGATAGTAGGTAGTACATGGTCTCGTTAATTATAATAATTACTTAAACTAATAAAGAAAAAATAAATCCTTTTTATTAAGCTATAAGAAATAATGCGCCCTAAAAACAAGAAAACGAAAAAAGAGAAAAAAAAAAACAAAAACGACATATATTTTTTTACATACTAAAATCTGCTATATATTCATTAATTATTTTTTTATACCTTACAGGTGGTAGTGTCCAATCAATGTCTTTAATATTGTGTATCACATTTGCTAGTTTTAACATGGACTCAAGAGGGGAACAAACTGTCTGTCTTAATTTTCCAAACAAGAGTGGATATCTAGTAAACCTTGAAGGAACTTTAAAGGGAATTTTGTGTAGCAAACTACTTGAAGTGGATATATTATTTATGACTTTATACAAAAAAAGCATCATTGTTAGTATACGTCTGCTTGTTAATGAAATAATATTAAATTCTGCCCTTAATCTAGATGATCTTACATTTGTATAATCTGGCCACACATGATATTTCCTGAAATACAAGTATCTAAGAAACTTGTTCTGGGTCTTTTCAATTGGCGCTAAATGTATTTGTGGTTGATCTCCCCACACCAAACATCCAAACTCTAATTTAGGCTTAATTAACACATTATATAGAATTTTAATTGTTTTTATAGAAAAAATGGAAGTCTGTCTATAAATGAATCCCAGTGAATGATTTGCACTATTTACTAATTTATTAATATGTGATCCAAAACGAAATTGATTATCATATATTAAACCCAAATCCTTAACTTTATTCAATTTGTTTAAATTATCCAAACCGATTAGATAATCAAAATTTATGGTTAGTTTTTTACGAGAGATGGACATTATACAACATTTATTCACATTAAAGTTTAATTTGTTCTCAATACTCCACTTATGAATGTTATTAATATCATTTTGCAACATTACGCAATCTCTAACTGTTTGTATTTTTTTGAACATCTTAAAATCGTCTGCAAATAATAAATAGTCCGAAAAATTAATGTATTCTGGAAGATCATTTATGAATAAAATAAAAAGTAATGGTCCTAAATTAGAGCCTTGTGGCACCCCTGAGTTAGCATGAAACTTTCCGGATGTATTCCCATTATGCCTTACTATAAATTGTCTATCCTGAAGATAATTTTTGAAAAGCTCTAATAAATTACCCGACAACCCAAATTGATGTAATTTTGCTAGTAGTATATCATGGTTAACTCTGTCAAAAGCTTTCTGAAAGTCAGTATAAATTATGTCAAGCTGCTGCCTTTCCTCAAAAACTTGACTTACAGATTCACCGAATAATACTAGGTTTGTATTTATAGATCGCCCTGACACAAATCCATGTTGTTGATCGACTATGCTGTTTTTAACATGATTGTAAATTTTAACATACATAATTTGTTCAAAAACCTTAGATGGAGCACACATTAATGAAACACCCCTATAATTCTCAATATCTTTCTTACTGCCTGATTTATAAATTGGAGTGATCTTAGATAGTTTCCATTTGGTTGGAAAATACTTGGTTTTAATAATACAATTAAAAATATGAATTAGTGGCCTTTTCAACCACTCCTGGCAACCTTTTAAAATATATGGTGGAATTCCATCAACACCGGCGGCCTTCTTTGGTTTCAATTTCTTTATAGCAATGTCAAAATCTTTTGCGCTTACTTCAGAGAAACTCAAAACATCATGGTTATTAAAATATATTGATTTATGCATGTCGTATTTCGATTTTTCACTACTATAAACAGATGCAAAATATTCAGCAAACTTTTCGGCTGTTCCACTCGGCAATATCTTATTACCTTGAAAGTAAAATGACTCAACCCCACCCGTATTACTATTACTTTTATTAACAAAATTCCAAAAACAGTTAATGTCATTATGTATAGCTTGCTCAGTTTGTTGTATATGTTTTCGATGTTCAATATTTATTAAATATTTGAGTTTTCGCCTAGATTCCAAATATATATTATTATAATACTCTGATATATGTTTTAATTTTCTATAATTATTCTTATCTTTTAATAATTTTTTGATTTCCGGTGTAAACCACTGTGGAAATTTATCATAATTTTTATAAGTTATATATTTTGGGACAGTTATATCAAATATATTGTAAATTTTTCTATAGAAAATATCAAGAGCAATATCTACATTATTTTCATTTGTTACCTCATCCCAAGGTATATCTCTCATCATTTCGCTCATTCTTAAAAAGTTTGCCCTTTTAAAATTATAATTGTTTTCATTATCGGCTAATCTATCCACAGCATTTCGACTAAGTTGGCTAAAAGTAAGTTTAATTTCTAGAGATGGATGTAACCTATCCTCTGCAACTACAGGTAACTGTTCCTGCAACACCTTACAGTTGTTTGTATTTTCGTTTGAACTTATTACTAAGTCTAATGTTTTACCTTGAAAATTTTTTATATTATTATAGAGAATAAATAAATTGAAACCAAGAAAATCAATTAGAACATTCATTTTAGAGCTAGCATTATCATAATCTATGTTATCAATCCCTTTAATTTCTGGTAGATTAAAATCTCCGAAAATAAATGTATTTTTGACATCTTTTACATGAAGTTGTAAAAATTCTAAACACGATTTATAATCATTTAAATTTGCACTAGGAGGGATATATATGAAAGAATATGAAAGAACAATGATTAAATAATAAAGAATAACAAGAAAGATAGGCATTCAATTTTGAAATTGTAAAGTTTGAGAACCAGAAAGTATAAATAAACATCATAGGAAAAGCTTTTATACCCACAGTTCTAATAAAAACATCTATTATTACACTATAAGTTGATAAAAATGTATTGAACTTTGTATTTATTTTTCCACAGTTACTGCTTTGAAAAATATGCGTATAAAGGTAACAGTTATTACTGAATTCTCACATATATTCATTTAATAAGAGAATAATAAGATCTGCTGACCTTCTGCGTTAGTAATGCTGCTTTTTTTCAAGCATATAAGTCATGTTAAGGACATTCGTAACACATTAATTAAAAAAAAACTTTTCCGGTACCTTATATACAAGGAATTTTAAAAATCATCAAATAACAAAATATTCTTAGAATAGTCCAAAGAACAACCCTTTGAATTTTATGCATGTTTAAAAAACACCCTGAATAATGGTCGTAACATTAAATATATTAAATAGACTTTTTACCTTTGAAGCTTTTCTTAATTTTATTGAAGAAAATCTTATTATTTTCGAAAAATAATATATTTTACCACATGTAGTTATTATTGTTAAAAACTTTTATATCTCTTTTGAAGTTATCATCTATTGATATTCACTAATTAAGTAATGCTGACACGATTATTAATAAAAATACAATTTTAGTTTAATTACATTTGGAAGTGTAGCAAATTAATCGGTATTACAAAAACGTTAAATATACGTTTTCAATTATTTGATAACCTCGTAGATACTAATAAGCGAATTAACATTAAAACCGCTCTGATTAACTTATTCAGTTTCATTACCACTTTTTATTTTTATTTCCTTCTGTCAGTAACGTTACATATTTATTTACTAGTATATATAACTTATCAATAATAGTATAATAACAAAACCCAACCTCATAAATTACTCTATTTTTATGACGTTAACAATTAAAAACTAGTTAAAGTTGCATTCTAATTGTTTAACATTGAAATATATTTGCAATATCGGGTTTCCGTTTTAATTTTAAATGAGTCATCAGTTATTGTGAAAATGCATGCATAATATGAACTGTTCTATTTGTTTAATATGATCTATTTTAGATATAATTAATTATTAAAACACTTTGATGTTTAAAGATTTATTCGGATTGTAACATAACATTTGATACAACTTACAATACAGAACACCATGTCACAGTTTATAGCTAAAGAATCAGTTCGCTCACTCTGCGTCGGCACTTTTGATCTCAATGTTCCAGTTTATACATTGCGCAACTGGGATTTGTATCCCTGGCGCATACAGAATCAAATCATAATAGCCCAAGAGTCCACTATAAATTTTTACCGCCATCTGATAATGAAATAAAATATACCCCAAAAGCTTGTAAAAACATTGTACTTTACCGAATGACACCTGTGACAATCCCAATCCTGAGCAAAGTGTTTAAAAATAGTATATTATGCAACGATCATGTAATGATGGTTATTAATACACGAGCATTAACCGGGATACGAAACGAGCCAAAGGCGAGTTTCGTATGGTTTATGCGAGTGTTTTAATAACCATTACATGAGAGTTGCATACGCTATTTTTTCTACACCCGATAAATAATCAAGACCTATAAATATTCTATTTATATTGGTATTGAACACAATAACAGTAATTACTCGTATTTCTATAAAAAAATCTACAAAATTGTAATTAATGGTATTACCTTGGGTATTGGTATTACCACAGATTTTTGGGGCAAAATATTTTGTACTGCATTTTCTCCTTTCTCCTATATGTGTGGAGGAGTCTTCTATATCGCTGATATCAGACATTTTAATATTATAATTATCGAAGTTTAGCTATCTACGAAAATTTAATACGTTTTGACAACTAAAACAATTACATAGGAATTTAGGACAAACGTCAAACATCATGCTTGATTGAAAAATTGTAGGTTTCTATTGATTAAAAATCTGTATCATAATGAAAAATCTGTATCATAATGGGTATCATTATGAAACGGATTATGGGCATATAAGTGCATTATTATAATACGGGTGTAGAAAAAAAATATTTTATATTAAAAAAAATCACATAAGGCATGACAGCGCTAATTTTGTTTGCCCTTAAAGATTTCCAGAAAATAATATTTAAATATATCTTGATGTATATCGTTAAAGGGAAACATTTTCTCTTAACATGGCACAAAAACATCTATTCACCATTAGTAGGTAAAAATCATTAAAAATATGAATTAATTTAAGAATTTATTTGTATGCCTATTATTGTGATTCATTTTTACAGGTTGTCATAGAAACGACAAAAAAACTACTATGATTATGGTTTAAAAGAATTGTCTAACAAGAGTTTACAATTATTATTAACTATCTCTGCCAAAGTTAGGTAAAAATATTAATAATTCAAATGTTACACAGATTTTTGGTATCACAATTTATTTTAACTAAACTTTAACAACAATTATACAACTGATACAATAACTTCACTGTATTTGGCTATCTCTTGCCAAGTAGGTGTAACTTTATTTTTGAGCCATTCTCGAAAAATTTTCAAATCATTGTCTTTCTTCTGCCCCTTCCTCAGGCTTTCAAGGGTGATTTCTTCTTCGGAGCAGGTTTAAAAGCTAGGTTCACAATGAATTAGGATTGTAATTTTCAGAGAAAACACAATTATCGCTGTCATGTCTTATGTAATTTTTTTAATATAAAATAATTTTTTTTAACCACTTTGCTCTGGATTACAGATTGGCACAGGAGCAATTTGGTAAAGTACAATGTTGTTACATGTCTTTGGAGCATATTTCATTTTGTTATCACTTATCAGATGGCGGTCGTAATTTGCAGTGGGCTCTCTTACTATTACCAATTAATCATTCCAACGACCTGTCAAACAATAGCTGTCAGTGAGAAGGTCTGGTATATCTAAGGGGGTAGAGACATAGTCTTGCATCTTGAACGTTTTTTTTATTCGAAATAATAGTCACAAAGCCTGCCAATTTATGAAAAAATGTATCTTATTTTTATTGTGTTTGACATAAAATATTTAAATGTAATCCATTATTCATGATTTTACGTATTGTAAACAGAATACATCGTATGTCGCAACCCTTGGATATATCAAATCTTCCCACTGGCAGTTCATT